CTTAATATAAGTTAGTGTAAACTTGTTGTCTGGCATTTATTGCATATTTTATATGTGCTCTGATAATAATACTTGTGGACCTGTGTGGTAGCTGGGCGGAGGGATAACATTACGTTTTCTCTGCTCAGCCACCAGAGAAAACATGTATGAATCTGCATTTGGCCCAGCCACTCCCCCACTCTGCTTTTGTTTACAATTTTCGGCATGAATTATTCATTACTTCTCCCTTAGTTTATGATGGCATCAAAAGGTAGTTGTCAGAAACGATTAAATTCAGTGAACAAGGTATGTCGATGCTAATAATATGGCTCTGGGCCACAGTGTAGGTAGCCGGTAGGTGTAGCCCAGGTGGGCTACACCTACTGGCTACCTACACTGACTTCCTACAAATAAATACTACTCACCTCTCTTCCTACATTAAGACTACACATGTTTTAAGGTAAACAGTGAGTGCACTGTATGTGTATTTTAACTCTGGGATGTTTTAAATATCGTATATTAAGTATGAGACGGGAAGCCAGGGCTACCTACACCTGACTTCCTACAAATAAGTACTACTCACCTCTCTCCCTACATTAAGATTACAAATACTGAAAGATAAGTAATGAATGTACTGTGAATGTATTTTACTTTGTGTGTTATTAATGCCTAGTTCTATTACTAACTTAACCCTTTCAGGGTCTGTGCAGTAAATCTACGGCTTTACGTTGAGGGTCCAAACCGTAGATCTACGCCATGAGCTCAGCTCACTCTTATGATAAGCAGTGAGCAGTAAATTTGGAACTAGATATGAGAGAATGCATCTATGTGGTATGTGTGCACCACATAAAACAAATCCTGCAGTACACAGTGCATAATGAGAGAAAAAAAACTGAGACCGTAATTTTCGATTAAAACAGCAAGTCTGCAGTTTTTATAGTTGTACTTGCGATTTCTTGGTCTCATTTGATAGAATGGAAGATATATTACAGATATAGAGATGATTTTGATTGGTTTTAGTACTGAAAATGGCTTGAAACTGAACTCAACGTAGTGGAAATGTTAAATTTTTGTCGATGTTCAAGAGTAAACTGATGACCTCACACGTCTAATACATGCCAGGTGGTGGGTCTCATATACGTTCACAAATGTGCTGATATTATTTATACAATTATTACAATATTGCATGACAATAAATCTTCTATTTTTTGGTTTGAATACAAATTCATTATGTGAATTAAAAATCAAAATGGAATTCATTTGTAAAGCCTGAAAATGTAACTAATGAACAGAGGAAATGTTAGTTTAGTGCCAGGAATGCCTGCATTGCTTATTCTGGACCCTATTTTGAAATTGGAATATTTTGAACTTTGCACTAAATTGGCCAAATTACCAATTTCCGACCACTTTATTTTGTAGTTGAAACAGATAAGTTGGCGATTTCTTGTGCTCGGTCGATAGAATAGAAGTAATACTAGTGAAATAGCTAAGAATTTGGTCAACTGGAATAAGGTAATTGGCATAAAATGGGAGTCAAAGTCGGCAAAATCGCCGATGCGGAAATATCGCTGACACATCAAAATTCGCGAGAGCATAATTTCGTCAATTTTTCATCAAATTTCATACTTTTTGTTTTATTACCTTCAGAAAAAGATTCTCTATCTTTTCATAAGAAAAAATAACAAAATTATTTTTTGAAAATTCTTGGCCTCTGGACACTGAAAGGGTTAATATAATTTAGTGTAAACTTGTTGTCTGGCATATATATGCATTTATAAATTAAGAAAATGGCATTCTGCTTTCTGGTGATGTCTGCTTTCCGGCAATAGCGTGGAACCTAACCCGCCGTATAAGTGGGGCCCTGCTGTATACTCAAATTCCAGCGGCTTCAAATCAAGCAGGAGAAAGATGGTAGGTCCACATGTGAGAGAATGGGTCTGTGTGGTCAGTGTGCACCATATAAAAAAAATCCTGCAGCAGCCAGTGCATAATGAGAAAAAAAAACTGACCGTTTTTTTTTTTATTAAAATGCCGACTTTGTGGTCTATTTTCGTATAGTATTTATGGTTGTATTCTCGTTTTCTTGGTCTTATTTGATAGAATGGAAAACATATTATAGAAATAGAGGTGATTTTGATTGGTTTTATTATAAAAGGAACCTGGAAATGGAGCTCAAAGTAAGGGAAATGTTTGATTTTTGCCAATGTTCAAAAGTAAACAAATATCTTTGTCCAATAAATGTCCAACTAGCTATTCTAATATGCAGTCATGAATGGGTTGACATTATTTATACAATTATTACAATATTGCAGTAGTCTGCATAACAGTAAATCTTCCATTTTTTGTTTGAATAAAAATTCAAAATAGAAAGCAAGAGTAATATCAGAGGGGCCTGGAGACGTGACTGATGAACAAAGAAAATGTTATTTTAGAGCCAGGAATGTCTGCTTTGTTCATTCTGGACCCTATTTTGAAATTGTCACATTTTTTAATTTTCGTGAAATCGGCCAAATTGCAAAATTCTGACTATGTTATTGGGTAGTTGAAATCGGTAAATGGGCAGTTTCTTGTACTCAATTGATAGAAAAAATGAAGTTCTAAAGAAATAGCTATGAGTTTGGTCAACAGGAACAACGGAATTAGCCAAAAATAGGGCTCAAAGTGGGTGAAATCGCCGATTCATAAATATTGCTGAGGCCGCTAACTTCACAAGAGCGTAATTCTGTAAGTTTTCCATCAAATTTTGCACTTTTGGTGTTAGTACCATCGGGAAAAGATTCTCTATCATTTCATAAGAATTTTTTTTTTTTTTAATTTTTGCGACACCAGAAGCGACCTCAGGATTAGGGGTTGCGACAGTCAACAAGTTAACTGCTTATAAACAATGTTGACTGCTCATGAACAATATTAACTGTTCCTAAACAATGTTAACTGTTCATGAACAATGTTGACTGCTCACAAACAATGTTAACCGTTCATAAACAATGTTAACTGCTCATCAAGAATGTTAACTGCTCATGAACAATGTTAACTGCTCATCAAGAATGTTAATTGCTCATGAACAATGGTGATCGCTCATGAACAATGTTAAATGCTCATGAACAATGTTAATTGTTCATGAACAATGTTAACTGTTCAAAAAGAATGTTAACTGTTCATAAAATAATGTTAATTGCTCATAAACAATGGTAACATGTGCTATCTTCCAAGTGCCACAATGTTGACTGCTCAAGAACAATGTTAACTGTTCATAAACAATGTTAACTGTTCATAAACAATGTTGACTGCTCATGAACAATGTTAACTGTTCATAAACAATGTTAACTGCTCATGAACAATGTTAACTGCTCATGAACAATGTTAACTGTTCATGAACAATGTTAACCATTCATAAACAATGTTAACTGCTCATGAACAATGTTAACTGCTCATGAACAATGTTAACTGCTCATGAACAATGTTAACTGCTCATGAACAATGTTAACTGCTCATGAACAATGTTGACTGCTCATAAAGAATACCTTACATGAAATATAATGGGATAATTTGATGGCAACTAATGTAGTACAATGTGTGGCTGCTACAAGATGGCAACTAGTGTAGTACAATGTTTGGCTGCTACAAGATGGTAACTAGTGTAGTACAATGTGTGGCTGCTACAAGATGGTAACTATGTTAGTACAATGTGTGGCTGCTACAAGATGGCAACTAGTGTAGTACAATGTGTGGCTGCTACAAGATGGTAACTAGTGTAGTACAATGTGTGGCTGCTACAAGATGGTAACTAGTGTAGTACAATGTGTGGCTGCTACAAGATGGTAACTAGTGTAGTACAATGTGTTTATGCTACAAGATGGTAACTAGTGTAGTACATGTTTGGTTTGCTACAAGATGGTAATTTGTGTAGTACAATGTTTGGCTGCTACAAGATGGTAACTAGTGTAGTACAATGTGTGGCTGCTACAAGATGGTAACTAGTGTAGTACAATGTGTGGCTGCTACAAGATGGTAACTAGTGTAGTACAATGTGTTTATGCTACAAGATGGTAACTAGTGTAGTACAATGTGTGGCTGCTACAAGATGGTAACTAGTGTAGTACAATGTGTGGCTGCTACAAGATGGTAACTAGTGTAGTACAATGTGTGGCTGCTACAAGTTTAGTAAACTAGTGTAGTACAATGTGTGGCTGCTACAAGATGGTAACTAGTGTAGTACAATGTGTTTATGCTACAAGATGGTAACTAGTGTAGTACAATGTGTGGCTGCTACAAGATGGTAACTAGTGTAGTACAATGTGTTTATGCTACAAGATGGTAACTAGTGTAGTACAATGTGTTTATGCTACAAGATGGTAACTAGTGTAGTACAATGTGTGGCTGCTACAAGATGGTAACTAGTGTAGTACAAGTGTGGCTGCTACAAGATGGAAAACTAGTGTAGTACAATGTGTGGCTGCTACAAGTGGTAACTAGTGTGGGTACAATGTGTGGCTGCTACAATGGTAACTGTGTAGTACAATGTGTTTATGCTACAAGATGGTAAACTAGTGTGTACAATGTGTGGCTGCTACAAGATGGTAACTAGTGTATTTACAATGTGTGGCTGCTACAAGAGGGGTAACTAGTGTAGTACAATGTGTGGCTGCTACAAGATGGCAAACATTTTTGTATTTACAATGTGTGGCTGCTACAAGATGGTAATAGTGTGTACAATGTGTGGCTGCTACAAGATGGCAACTAGTGTAGTACAATGTGTGGCTGCTACAAGATGGTAACTAGTGTAGTACAATGTGTTTATGCTACAAGATGGTAACTAGTGTAGTACAATGTGTGGCTGCTACAAGATGGTAACTAGTGTAGTACAATGTGTGGCTGCTACAAGATGGTAACTAGTGTAGTACAATGTGTGGCTGCTACAAGATGGTAACTAGTGTAGTACAATGTGTGGCTGCTACAAGATGGTAGTAGAGGGAGGAGTCCTACATGAGTTATTTCAACAGTTGTATTCTTGTGAACAATACCTTTGTCCTGTGTGTGGCTCTCTCTCTGCAATCCTGCAATGCATTTGATAATCAATTTTATAGATCTTAATGTCCTCAAGACATAGATATGTTCACAATTATTCATATTCAATTACAATTACCACAGAAAATTTAAGCTGCATATAAATTTTATATTTTGTTTTATCTTTTTCTTGTAACTAAGAGCACTTGCATATAGAACGTCAAGTTACAGAAATAAGTGAACCAATAAGCAATTAACAACACTAACCTGGCTACTACATACACTTAACAATTAATAAGCAAAACATGTGCTGTGAGACTGCAATGGTGAGGTTACAGTAGTGGCTGGTGGGACTGGTAATGGTGGTGGTGGGATTGGTAGTGGTGGTGGTGGGACTGGTAGTGGTGGTGGTGGGACTGGTAGTGGTGGTGGTGGGACTGGTAGTGGTGGTGGTGGGACTGGTAGTGGTGGTGGTGGGACTGGTAGTGGTGGTGGTGTGACTGGTAGTAGTGGTGGGACTGGTAGTAGTGGTGGTGGGACTGGTAGTAGTGGTGGTGGGACTGGTAGTTGTGGGGAGGGACTGGTAGTAGTGGTGATGGGACTGGTAGTGGTGGAGGGACTGGTAGGGGTTTACTTATGATGGTGGGTTTGGTAGTAAAGGTGGTGGGTTGTGGGATGGGTAATGGTGGTGGTGGTAGTAGTAGAGGGTATTGGGCGAGACAGGTAGGGGTGGGGGGTGGGTGGGATGGCAGATGGATGATGGTGGATGGGGTGGTAGATGGGGGGATGGTGAATGACAGGTAAACGGGTGGCGGTGGGTGGGGGGTAGGTAGTGCGGGTGGCAGTGGATGGGATAGGTAGATGGGTGGTGGTGGTGAGTGGGATAGGTAGACGGGTTTGATGGTGGGTGGGGTAGGTAGATGGGTGGTGGTGGGTGGTAGTAGACAGGGGGTAGTGGATGGATAGGTAGATGGGTGGGTGGTGGATGGGGTAGGTAGACAGGTGATGGGTGGTGGATGGGTTTAGAGGGGGGTGGTGGATGGGTTAGACGGGTGGTGGTGAATGGGTTAGGTGGCGGTGGTGGTGGATGGTGTAGGTTGATGGGTGGTGGTGGTGGATGGGGTAGGTAGATGGGTGGTGGTGGATGGTGTAGGTAGATGGGTGGTGGTGGTGGATGGTGTAGGTAGACAGGTGGTGGTGGATGGTGTAGGTGATGGGTGGGGGGTGGTGGGGGTTTGTAGGTAGATGGGTGGTGGTGGTGGGTGTAGGTAGATGGGTGGTGGTGGATGGGGTTTGGTAGACGGGTGGTGGTGGATGGTGTAGGTAGATGGGGGGTGGTGGTGGGGGATGGTGTAGGTAGATGGGTGGTGGTGGTTTTGTAGGTGATGGGTGGTGGTGGAGGGTGTAGGTAGATGGGTGGTGGTGGATGGTGTAGGTAGATGGGTGGTGGGGTGGGAAGGGGGTGTGTAGGTTTAGATGGGTGGTGGTGGTGGATGGTGTAGGTAGATGGGTGGTTGGTGGTGGTGGATGGTGTGGGTAGATGGGTGGTGGTGGTGGATGGTGTAGGTAGATGGGCAGTGGTGGTGGATGGGGTAGGTAGATGGGTGGTGGTGGATGGTGTAGGTAGATGGGTGGTGGTGGTGGATGGTGTAGGTAGATGGGTTGGTGGTGGTGGTGGATGGTGTAGGTAGACGGGTGGTGGTGGATGGTGTAGGTAGATGGGTGGTGGTGGTGGATGGTATGGGTTTGATGGGTGGGGGTGGTGGATGGTGTAGGTAGATGGGTGGTGGGGGGTGGATGGTGTAGGTAGATGGGGGGGTGGTGGTGGATGGTGTGGTAGATGGGTGGTGGTGGTGGAGGGTTTGTAGGTAGATGGGTGTTGGTGGTGGATGGAATGTATGGATGATTATTGTTTAATTATTATTATATTTTTATTATTAAAGCGATACGCTGAGACTGTGGGAATTATTTAATGGAAGATTTTGTGGAGGCTCTATACACCATCCACAAATCAAGAGACAAACACTGTACTCTGGAAGCCAGGGTCTTACCAAGGTTTGATGGTGGTGGTTGCAGTGTTATTAATGTTGCTGGTGGTGGTGGAAGGAGTGGTGATAGGGGTTGTGGTGGTAGAGGTGGTGGTGGTAGGGGTGCTGGCAGTAGGGGTGGTAGGAGTGGTGGTAGTAATAGTAGTGGTTTTAGTGGTGGTAGTAGTAATAGTAGTGGTAGTAGTGGTTTTAGTGGTGGTATTAGTGGTGGTAGTGGTTTGGGAGTAGTGGTATTGTGGTGGTAGTGGTGGTAGTGGTGGTAGTGTGGTAGTGGTGGTATTAGTGGTAGTAGTTTGGTAGTGGTGGTAGTAGTGGTGGTAGTAGTGGTGGTAGTGGTGGTAGTTAGTGGTGGTAGTAGTGGTGGTAGTGGTGGTTGGGGTTGGTAGTGGTGGTGGTAGTGGTGGTAGTGGTGGTGGTAGTGGTGGTAGTAGTGGTATTAGTGGTAGTGGTGGTAGTAGTGGTATTGGTGGTAGTGGTGGTATTAGTGGTAGAACAGGTCAGCCATCACTAATCCATCAATCAGTTATCCGGTTCCATCAGTAATCCGGCACTAATTTCGGCTAGCATAATTTCAAATTTCATCATTATACTGACTCAGAAATTGTGCAGATGGTTATAAATCCACAGCAGCAAGCCAGTGGAGGAGAAAGCAGTGATGAAAATGAGGAAGATGTAGCAGAAAGTCTCTCTACTGATAGGTTAATTAAGTGTATTCTAACCTAACCACTCTGTAATCCAGGAAACTCACTAATCCGGCACACTACAGGTCCCAATGATCCCGGATTAGTGAGGGCGGACCTGTAGTAGTGGTATTAGTGATAGTAGTAGTAGTGGTAATAGTAGGAGAGTAGTAACAGTGGTATATACAAAACAAAAATCTCTGTCAATGTCGGTTGAACATTAAGATCAATAAAGCAGCTTTTTAAATTAACATATCCTAGATAACTTTAATAGTTGGTCACAATTTCACTAAATTTTGGTGTTACAATATATTGTAACAGCCTAAAATGCTTCTCCTGGACAAATGGGCTGACCACACAAAACGTGTAGTGTTTGCTTAGAGTCAAACGAAGTACAGATGCTCCTCACTTATGATGGTTCGACTTATGATATTTCAACTTTACGAAGGTGCAATAGTGATGCACATTCAATAGTCATCTACAACTCTGAGAACCCCACAGCATTCAAGAATGTGAGCAAGCACACGCTTCCCGTTTATTATCACCATAACAAAAAAGTGTCTGGATGATATTACCATTGTTTGAAGACTGGTTATTTAACTGTTTTATTCATCAAGTGAAAGAATAATGTCATCAAAATAAAATAACCTTCAAGATTCTCCTTGTTTTAGATAATTATCCAGGACATCCACAGTAATTAGTACTTCCCCCGACACACGATTTGAGTTGAGTGGGACTTGCACATGAGTGAACAGACTTATCAAAGCTTATTGCTTGGGAAGCACTGAAAATTGGGTTGGGCAAATACGATTCTGTTAGTGGGATGGTTTGTGAAGGACCTGCCTAGTATGGGCCAACAGGTCTACTGCAGTGTTCCTGCTTTGTGTTCTTATGTACAACAGATGAGGAAATTGCTTCAGAGGAGGAGAAAGAGAGAGGGAAGAAGGTGCCTCTTCAAGATTAGACCATTTGTGTAAAAAATTTTGGGGTAGGTGAAACTTTTGTGGGGAACATCACCTAACCCTCTCCCCTTTCCATCTTCCATTTCACCAACAAGAGGTCTTCAATAAAGGTTTGATATTATTGTTTTAAACTTGATTTCTCATTCTTTTCTGTATGTAAATCTATATTTAATCTACAAAAAAAAAAAATTTTTGTTAATGCTATCGGGTGACTGGAACGGATTAATTGGATTTACATTATTTCTTATGCAAAAAATTAATTCGGAAATCATCAGATTTGGGTTTAGTCACTCTCTCTGGAACAGATTAATTACGAAAATCGGATGTCCTATGTATGTATGTATGTGTATATGAAAAGAGATTTAAGTCCCTTAAATTACATTCACTTGTAAGACGAAGAACGAGGGGAGACATGATCGAAGTGTACAAGTGGAAGATGGGTATTAACCCCTCGACTGTCACAACCCCAAATCCTGACATATCTCCTGGTGTTGCAAAATTTCTGAAAAAACAAAATTATTTTTTATGAAATGATAAGAGAATCTTTTCCTGATTGTAATGACACCAAAAGAACAAAATTTGATGAAAAACTGACGGAATTACGCTCTCGCGAAGTTAGCGACCTCGATATTTACGAATCGGCAATTTCGCCCAATTTGAGCCCTATTTTTGGCAAGTTCCCTTGTTCCAGTCGACTAAACTCATAGCTATTTCTTTAGAACTCCACTTTTTCTATTGACCGAGTACAAGAAAATGCCCATTTACCAATTTCCACTACCCAATAACGTGGTCAGAAATTTGCAATTTGGCAAATTTCATGAAAATTAAAAAATATGACAATTTCAAAATAGGGTCCAGAATGAGCAATGCAGACATTCATGGCTCTAAAATAGCATTTTCTTTGTTCATCAGTCACATCTCCAGGCCCCTCTGATATTACTCTTGCTTACTATTTGAATTTTTATTAAAAAAAAAAAAAAAAAAAAGAAAAAAAAAAAAAAAAAAAAAAGATTTACTAACATGCAGACTACTGCAATATTGTAATAATTGTATAAATAATGTCAACCCATTCATGACTGCATATTAGAATGGCTACTTGGACATTCATTGGAAAATGACATTTGTTTATTTTCGAACATCCGCAAAAATCAAACATTTCCCCTAGTTTGAGCTCCATTTCAAGGTTCTTTTCATAGTAGTAAAACTAAACAAAATCACCTCTATTTCTATATGTTTACCATTCTATCAAATGGGACCAAGAAAACGAGAATACAAAAATAAACACTATATGAAAATACACCACAAAGTCAGCATTTTAATTGAAAAAAAAAAAAAGTCGGAGTTTTTTTTTCTCATTATG